AATGCAGGACACACAGGACTCAGTTTCAATCCCCAGGCCAGGAAGGTGCCCTGGAGAAGGAGATGGCAACCCACTCCAGTATTCTTGCCTAGGAAATCCCAAGGACAGAGGAGACTGACAGGCTATAGTCCATGAGGTCGCAAAGAGTCGGACAGGATTTAGCAACTGGGCACACACAGGCACACACACATAATGTTCAAAGTCCTTTCAAAAGCCTCAGAGTTTAGACATTTGTTACCAAATGGTTTAGGCAAGTATAAAAGCCAAGCACTGGAGAAAGAGACAAGACCAGTATGGCCCTGAAATTTGGTTGATATTTCATTCATATCTCAGATCTAGCAACTAAAACAATGTCTTATACATAGTAGGTCTTGTTAAATATTTTCAAGTTAACTACAGGCAATGCCAAGTGTTGTGGTCCAGAGATTTTCACATTTCTAGGATGAATTTCCTCCCTGACTGTCTCTGTGACTCTCTGTCTCAGCTTACTGGAGGAGCTGCAGTGAATATTCTCACAATAAAGGGTCAGAATTCTGAACTTTACAATGCCCCAACCATATCCAATTCAAAAGCATCAATTCTTCAGCACTCAGCTTTCTTTATAGTCCAACTCACACATCCATACATGACTACTGGAAAAACCATAGCTTTGACTAGATGGAACTTTGTTGGTAGAGTAATGTCTCTGCTTTTTAATATGCTATCTAAGTTGGTCATAGTTTTTCTTCCAAGGAGTGTCTTTTAATTTCATGGCTGAAATCACCATCTGCAGTGATTTTGGAGCCCCAAAAAATAAAGTCTCTCACTGTTTCCATTGTTCCCCCATCTATTTGCCATGAAGTGATGGGACCAGATGCCATGGTCTTAGTTTTCTGAATGATGAGTTTTAAGCCAACTTTTTCACTCTCCTCTTTCACTTTCACCAAGANGATCATACCATCGTGATTATCTGGGTCATGAAGATCTTTTTTGTATAGTTATTCTATGTATTCTTGCCACCTCTTCTTAATATCTTCTGCTTCTGTTAGGTCCATACCATTTCTGTCCTTTATTGTGCTCATCTTTGCATGAAATGTTCCTTTGGTATCATTAATTTTCTTGAAGAGATCTCTAGTCTTTCCTATTCTATTGCTTTTGAACTGTGGTGTTGGAGAAGACTCTTGAGAGTCCCTTGAACTGGAAGAAGATGCAACCAGTCAATCCTAAAGGAAATCAGTCCTGAATATTCATTGGAAGGACTGATGTTGAAGCTGAAGCTCCAATGCTTTGACCACCTGATGTGAAGAACCAACTCATTGGAAGAGACCCTGATGCTGAAAAAGATTGAAAGCAGGAGGAAAAGGGGATGACAGAGGATGAGATGGTTTGATGGCATCATCAACATGATGGACATGAGCTTGAGGTGGCTCTGGGAGTTGGTGATGATCAGGGAAACCTGGCATGCTGCAGTCCATGGGGTCGCAGAGAGTTGGACATGACTGAGCAACTGAACTAAACTGAACTGAACCAGACCCAGAGGAGCTGACACAGGGTAAGACACCTCCCAGGGTCCCACCTCTCTGAGGGTCCTGCCTTCTTATTCTCCCCATCTTATTGTGGCCTCACTTGTGATTTTCCTACCATAACTGTCTCAACCACAACCATCCTCCTGGCTTCTCTCCATGAACATATCTGTAGCGCTGATGTTCTGGTGGGAGTCCGCAGAGCACCACCCCTGGCCAGGGAGGGTAGAGAAATCCCAGGGGGCTATAACACCCAGGGCCTCTGTCTCCTTAGACGAGCACGGGAACCAAAAGACGCAGCCAGCAATTAGCAGCAGTAACTCATGAAAGGACTGAACCACTTGGTACATAGAAAAGATGTGTCATCCAGGTGTCACCAGCCCTTCCTGAGGCGCTTGGCGGCCAAAAACTCCAGTCAAAAAGAGGAAAACCACAAATACAATTCCTAAGGCCTTAAGAAGTCATGAGATCTGCAGTGGATCTCAAGGGAACGACAAGGTGGTGGTTACCATACACTCACTCAGCAAGATCTTCCTTAAAATTATTGACATTTTGAAACATCTCTTTTCCCAAAACGTCTGTTTCTTAAGACATGGACCACTCCCTCTCCCCACCTCGAGCCCTGTCCCATGCTCCCCCCTTGGCCCTCATGTGTCTCCATCTCACTTCTCATTTATAGCCATGTAGTTCTTTCTCCTCTTGCCTTTTCCAATCCATTTCTCACCATCTCTTCCCCTCGCCCCTACCCCCAAACCCCACACTTGTCCAGGACGCGAGAAAGTAACACAGCCTCCTTCTGCTTTACGAGCTGAAAAGCAGTGGAAATCAAATGCTTCTAATGTTTTTCTCTGCCACATATATAAAAATGGGAAATTTGCTATCACAGAGGTTCTAAACCCTTTCCTTCCAAATAGAGAAGAAAATGAAGAGTTCATAGAACACATGTCTTGCTCTAGAACAAACAGTCCAGCAGGCCTGAGTGTCACATTTCATTATAGAAAATGTATCAATTAGATAATACCCCCCATGTTTTCCTCCTGGCATTCTGGGTGCTTCTCATTCTTCAGTTCCAATTACCATAACTATGCTTACAGAGCTGGGAGTGACGGTGTTCCCACTGGCGTGGGTTTTCTTCCACACCCACCAGGCCATGGAATATTATGCTCCAAGGGACAGAGGGATGACTTTGGCCACAGAGGAATCTGGCAACTGGCCAGGCCCTGAACCATCTCCCTCTGGTGTGGTCTTGAGGTCAGTTTGTCTAACTTTACCAGGAAGCCACAGGGGCCAGAAAAATCAAAGCAAAGACAAGAGACCAAGATAAACACAACTGACCTGACCACCTAAATAGACTCTAGTCATTGCGACACTTTAAACTACTGGGGGAAATCTTATGAGCTGGCTAAGAACTTGGGGGCTGATAGGAAACTGAAGTCAACAAAGCATTAGATTGTTATCTATGCAGTTTTAATTAGCCAGGGGCCAGTTGTCTGCTTGCTCCCCTGCAGCAAATTACCAGTGTTAAATGTTACCCCTGCAAGGCTGTGACAGACAGAACGTCCCTTAAACCAAGTATGCATCTAACAATTCCCTTTTCAGCAGTAAGATCTACAAACCAGACTTGAGCTTAAAAAATTCATGAAACATTTTTCAAGGACAAATAGTTGAAGAAGTTTCAGCCAAAGGTAGGGTTATCAAGTTGTTCCAGCTTGCCCGGGACTGAAGTTTCCCAAGGCATGGGGCTTTCAGTACTAAAGCCAGGACAGTTCCAGGCAGATCCTAGATGGACCTCAACCCTAGTAGAGGGTTGAATTAGAAGGAAGGGGGTGGTACACTCGAGGGAAGGTAGAGAGGGAGAGAAAATAAACACCTTCAAAACAGTTCAACTTCTCTTTAGTTCAAAATCAACTACAGATGTCAACCGTGTCAAAGTGTGTACAAACTATTTTTTCAACAAAGGGTTTATGGCCAATGACCTTGGGAGACGCTCCACACAAACTCCATCAGCTCTCCTTCACATGGTCTCCATGCACATCAACACACTGAAGGCTCTGAGAAGTCCTGCAGTGGTAAACATGCTTTAATCTGGTCCTCTCAGGGGGTCCTAAGTCTGTGGGACCACACAAGTCTTTTTTTCACTTAATGTTTATGATCATCCAACTGGACATACTTTGAGAAATGGGGGTCTTGTTCACAAAACCGTAATCAACCGAGGAGGTACGTGACTCACACTCAGTAAAACACACACAGCTACTTAAGAGGCCAACACAGTTCTCTTTGTATTCAGTTAAAACCATACTGAAAACTTACCTAAAAGAGAGCCATGATTTGTATTTTTAAAAAGACATTTGGGGAAAATGACTGAGATGTATGTAGGATATTAAAGATGAACTGAACCAGTAAAAACACTGCTGAAAAGACTAAAGACTTGAACCTGAAACATAATCTGAAGTGAATTTTGTGTCAGATATACGTGAGAGATTTATTTATTCATTCATTCCATTTATTCATTCACGTTAAGCATGAATGTTCTAGGCACTGTGCTAGGCCCAGGGATAATGCAGTAACAAGAGACAGTGATAAGGTCTCCAATGCTTGGGGCTTCCAACCTTAAATGTCACTACATGTTAACTAACAATCTTTTAACAATGAGAAAAGGAACTACAGGGATCCACAGGAGATGCCTCTAGGTCAGATTTAAGGGGCGGACACGATGCATTCCCACGGAAGGTGATGTCAAAGCTTAGACCCAGTGGATAAAGTGAGTGGGCCAGTCCAGTGTGTGCAGGAGTGTGATGCCATGCAGCAGGAGACTGTGTTTCGGGCATAAGGTACAGTGCACGCAAAGGCCGTTGGTGATGCAGAGCTCAGAGCATTCTCTACACAGGCAAGAGTCCCGTTACTGAAGTCAGAGCTAGAATTCATTTGGACACACAGATGGGCCACTTTGACTACTATTATTATCACTATTACATAAAGGAAGAGAATTTTGCACCAAGCAAAGGTTAAATCTGACCCTCCCTACACCTCTAAGGGTCTAGAGCTTTGCGACTGGGAGAATTCTATGATTCCCTTCAGCTTCTAATGTTTACAGCTTACAGACCTCTGCTTTTGTAAAGCAAAGCTCCCCGCAGTCATAAATCTACACATGAACAGACAGTATAGTTCTGATTTCTTTTTCCTTCACTCTGCACCTTTCTTTTTCCCCCAAAACAGCCACAATGGCCACTTCATCAACCTTGACATCTCCTGGCTTTTTCATAAGATGCTTCCCGTAACCCAACACCTACAGGGCAGGCAAACATCATTGGGTACTTACTGAACCACTTGGGGTTTTTTAATTAAACCACAGGTGCTGAGGCAAAGATGACTTCCCCAGGTGGTAAAGCACAGAAGTTTGGTGGAGACTTGGCTAGTAAAGTCCACCTCAACTGAGCCCTCTCTGGAGCACCCAGAAGAGAACAAGTAACGGGTGGGATTGCTCGGGAAAACACTTACCCCTCTGAAATTCCAGGCTTTAGGAGATGGAAACATGGGAAAGTTGTTCTGCCGCTGCCGTTTAGGCCTGGAAGAGGACAAAAAAAAAAAGAGATGCACTCATTACTCAGAGGAAATCACCAGTTTCAGATGGAGTTTCATCAGAAGGAGAGATGCTTGCAGAAACGGTCCAGGCAGGGTGAAGTGGCTGGAGTTTTCTACAGCTCAGCAATCTTGAGCAGCCAAACGCACTCTAAACTCCTTCCCAGGGCCCCGGGAGGAAAGCTCCAAAGTCAGTGAGAAAAGTCAATCCCTCACCTTTAAAAACAGGAAAATTTAAAAGAAAATCGAAAGTCTAAACTGGATGCAATTATAGAGCCAGACCAAACTCCAGTCTTTACTTTTCGCAAATGGAAGGCTCCCAAAGGGAGGCCATCAGGTGATGTTTGTAGCTTCAGGCGCAGCCAGGAACCCTCCCTTGTTGCTCGCTCGCTGGGGAGTCCCTGCTCCTCCACACAGGCCACACTTGAGCTCCTGGACTTCTAAAGAGACGGCTGACAGGACAACTGTTAAGCAGCCGCGGCCTAACAAGTCAGAACTGGCTTCCTTGCCTATTAATCTCTCCCCATGGATCAATCTCCTTAGATGCAACAGACGCAGGTTCAAGTCGGGTCCACGCAAGTGGCAGATAAATGGTACAAAAGAGGAAAGATGTGGGAAGGGGGCTGGGTGACCGCAGACACACCAGGAATGCCTTACTTCTGTCTTGTAAACTGAATTCAATTTTGTGACTGCAACATACCCACAGGAACACGTATTACGATGTTTTCATGGAGCGATAGATAAATGACTCCTCCCCAAAATGCTCTATCTGTCTATATGGATAGTCAGATGCTGTCTTTGCTTGAAGTACCACTTCACTGAAAAGCATCCCTGAAGGAGGTCCGCCCTGGACCTGCCCTGAGGGTTAGTCACTGATGTGCTAGAGGGCGGTGGTGCTGTTTTTTCACACGACACTCACCCCTCTTCTTTGGCCTCCCTGCCACAGTGAGCAGGAACGCGAGGTAGGATGCTTGTGGTGACCACTGCGCAGGCTCTGCAGAATGTCAGGCCTGATAAAAATCGGAACTGGCTCTACCATACAGAGCACACCCTGTCCACCCCTTGAATCAGGCAGAAGACATAAACAAACAAAACACAAGGTAATTATAACAGCAGCAGCAGCTGACAGGCACTGAACTTAAAACAGCATATGCTGAGTAGTTATTGCCACTACTCTCCACTGGGAGCTGGGGTTCACTGTTGTACCCATTTCATAAATAAGAAAACAGGGACCTAAAAAAATATTAAGTGACTTGACTCTCATCACACAGGTGAAACCAGGATTCTGGTCTCAAGTGTGTGATCTCAAATCCCACAGCATTTTATTAGCTGTGTGACCCTGAGCCCGAGGTTTAAGCTCTTGAGCTTTCATATTCTTACGTGCAAAACAGGAGAGAGAATACCCAGCACACAGCCAAGACGAGAGGAGGGCCCTGAGTCCGGTGTTGTCACAGCTAAGTTCTCAGCAGATGTCAGCCCAGTGCCCACAGCAGAGCTGGGACAACTGGCTGAAACAGATGGGAACTCCCGCCTGACCCGTCTTTGCATCCAACCCCCTTCTTCTGCCTCACCCTCCTCCTCACCCACGCATACAGTGGAAACCTAGGCTAATAACTTCTCAAGACAAACAGAGCAAATGTGGGTGGTTATTTAGATTTAATACTCTTCTCTTATTAGGTACCATGTTGGTCTAAGCTCTTCTGAAGAGACATTTCTCCCCTTAAAAAAAAAAAAAAAGCACACACACAAGCAAACTTAGAATTGAACAGTACTTCTCCCTGGTTACCGTTCCCTCTCCTCCCAGGTTATAATTGGGCTTTGCTCTCCTAATTACCTGATGAGCTTCACTGCTTCCAAAGCAACAACATATACCAGAACATTCTGAGTCAGTGTGTCCCTGTTTCACATGCTGCAGTCCACAGAAAATGACAGTCATGATAATTAACAGTGACAGAGTTACATGATGTGCCAGGGACTGTTCTAAGTATTCTGCCTACATAGTCTAAATCTTAGAATAACAGGATGATGGGTTCTTCTGTTATGCTATACTGTAATGTTAATACATTACAGTGGAACTGCATATTACCATATTTTATATGTATGGCCTTACATACATTTAAATATACAATCATGGTAACTTTGTATCATAATATGTTTTCACATAGTATTGTATATGATTATGGCATAATGGGGATATTACCATTATCCCATTTTAACAGACAGGATAAACTGAGGTCCAGAGAGGTTAAACCAGATGCCGGAAGGTAGGTGGTAGGTGGCCAAGGTGGGATTCATACCCAGATGTGTCAGACTCCAGATTCAGGGAATGTAGCCCCTCTCAAACAGAGAGAGGCTGCACCAAACAGGGCTTCCACATGTTTGGAAGAACGCAGCCTGGGTGGTGCTTGTGGGCGGACAGCGGTTTAGCGGGGCCTCACACTAAGAGGCCTCATAGACAAAGACAATGCATCAGAGCAAGTCTGTCAGTCCAGGGCACTCTTGGGCAACGCGATCACACCCCCAGTGGCTGGGGAAAGTGCCAGGAAACCTACCTAAAAGACAGCTGTCTCCAAATGCTGCTTCCCCGACCCCTGCATTCCACCACCAGTCAGGCTTCCAGATCATTCATCTTGGCTGCAGTCCCTTTTAACAATCTCATCTGGCATCAAGAGTCCCCTGATAGTTTCCTTCTCTCCAGCCAAACACCACCACCCACATGGCCTTAAAGGATGGCTTCGGGGAGTAAAAGGCACCCTCCCAAGAAGGCTCCTTTAGGAAGCCCAGGGGAACTGGCAGGCATGAACGACAACATCTCAGAAGCCAGTCAAGGCCAGGTGGGCACCACAGAAGGGGCGACCAGTCCTGGGTATGTTTCTTTTGTTTTACAGGCAACTTCTTTGCCCTGTCAGCAAAAGTCCAAGGGAGAAAACAGCACGTGGTTCTACAGGCTTTTCAGAACCAAGCTACCCTGGGGGGAGTTCTCTGGAGTAGATGGGGTCCTCAGGCCCTGAAGTGACCCAGGTCTGTGCACGGCATATGCACAGGGCCACGTCAGGATTCAAGGTGCATCTAGGGAAAGAGCTCAGATTCAGCAGTGTGCATGGCTGGAATCAGAATGAGGTCAGGAGCGACAGGCCTCAGGGTTAGAAACAGAATGCATTTTCCCACCACGTTAAACAAACGTGACACTCTCCCACCACCAGAGAATGATGACTGTATCCACAGCATCTCCCAAGCTCCTGGGAGTCCGGCTGCGGCTGCTGCCGGCACTGTGGGGCCGAAGTCTGGTGTTCAGACCTGGGGCTCCAAAAGTGCCTCCCTCCCTTTCTTGCTGGAGGATGTCAGCCAGGCCACCTACTTTCGACTCCCTCCCTAAGCCTCCATCTTCTCATCTGGAAAGTGGGGATAATAACCTCTTTTTATAAAACTGAAAAATTAATGTGCTATAAAAAGGGAATAAAAATAGCTGATTTTAAAATAACGATGCATTATACAAATGTTTAGCAGAGAGTCTGACACTTAATTGCTCTTATTATACTGAGTCGACGTAACCAGTAAGGAGGATATCACTTGCCATTTTCATTGGCAAGGCTCCTATCAGAGAGACAATGAAATTTACAACTGAGTCTTACAAATTGTGTAATGTAAGTAAAATAAAACAAAGGCTATAACGTGCTATGAATACTTTGTTAGGTGACAATAACATGGTCATAAATATGAACATAATGTAACTGTGAAAAGAGCCCTGCCTTTCCACTGATATTTCCTGGTTCCCCGCTCCCCTCTTCCTTTTCAAAGATTACCACCTCTGCCAGCATGTTTCATGTGTTGCAAATATTTTAATATCTTAACTGCCAGCCCAGAGCATCTTGCTAACAAAACTTTCCTTGATTTTCTTCTCTTTTGTTTTACCTCTCTCTCCATGAGAAGCTATAGAATTACTAGGAAAACAGCGACACCTTATAAGAAAAACTAAAGCCAGGTATTTCTTATTCTGGTAGGACCACTGAAGATGTGGTGGTTTCTTTTGCTTGAATGTCTTTTTAGTTTCTGTTTTGAGTACATAATCGAGGATGGGCTGGCAGGTGTTTAGCCCAGTGAAGACCCAAGTCTTCCTGGAGAAGCTCACTGGAAAGAGTTCGCAAAATGGAGATCTTGTCACCTTGGCTGGTCTTCCTCTTAAATGTTAAGTAGAAAGGCACTGCTCGGCACACATTTCTGTAGCTCACTGACTAACACTCAGCCTCATTCCAGTCACGCCATGGCTGCAAGTCCAGCTCTTTACTTCCTGATAAATTATGGAAAAAAGAATTACAGAACCTCGGATTGCTCAGCTGGTTCAATCACTCAGCACCAGTTACATCCTCTTTACAACAGTCCTTTTGGCAATACACCCTGAAAGAGAGCCTTCTCTCCTTAGAGAATGAATCTGTAGCTCTTTATATAATAGACTCTCATTAATTTCTTTCCCTTTCCTTCCTGAATACCTACTATACCTCCACCCAGTGCCACACGTTAGGGAGACTGTGGCGAGCAAAACAGATCAGCTCCTACTTCCATGGAGCTTGCAGAAGGGCAACCAGCCCAAAAATTGAGGGGGGGCGGTGCTGTGGAGAATGCGGATCCCTCCCTAAGCCTCCATCTTCTCATCTGGAAAGTGGGGATAATAACCTCTTTTTATAAAACTGAAAAATTAATGTGCTATAAAAAGGGAATAAAAATAGCTGATTTTAAAATAACGATGCATTATACAAATGTTTAGCAGAGAGTCTGACACTTAATTGCTCTTATTATACTGAGTCGACGTAACCAGTAAGGAGGATATCACTTGCCATTTTCATTGGCAAGGCTCCTATCAGAGAGACAATGAAATTTACAACTGAGTCTTACAAATTGTGTAATGTAAGTAAAATAAAACAAAGGCTATAACGTGCTATGAATACTTTGTTAGGTGACAATAACATGGTCATAAATATGAACATAATG